TATTGAGAAAAATAAAGTTTATAACATCAAAGCATTATCAATGCAGGCTTAAAAGCAGTCCAAATCCAGACCTACACCTTCTAGATGGCCATGATAGCTAAGGGTGATTCTAACACTCAGACTACTAGCACGTATCAAGGCAAAATAGCACATCTAAATGATGTTTGAGATACACAACACAATTTTGGACGTATTATATCAGATTGCACAATGTGTCTATTATGTGTATGATTATAAACAAGATAATTTCCAATCCTGTGCAATTTCTCATGTAACAATTATTGTTTCCAAACCTATCTGAACCCCTCCCACTTTCACATCTGAATAAGCAAGCTTATACTGGAAGATGTTTGTAGCCCCCCACCCAAATAAAAGAACCCCTCCCACTTTCACATCTTAATAAGCAAGGTTATATTGGAAGATATTTGTAGCCCCCCCCCCCCCCCCCAAATGAAAGCCTTACCATGTCTATTTTACAACAGCTATGCTTAAATGGGAATTAGCTGCTATAGAATTTGTAGAATTCTTGTGTTCTCGTTCTTGTGTTGTCCTAAATCATGTTTACTTTAAGCTATTATTCCCCTTTAAAATAATTTGAACAACAAGAGGCCCAAGGGCCTTAACGGTCACCTGAGTATAATGCAACAATTTAGAGGATCCATAGAGTATTAAATGAACTGAAAGGTGAAGCTTTGTTGCCCAAAAGCAAGAAAAATAGGGTGATCAGGATCAACAAAATAATTACTCAAGTATTCATTAATAGTTCATAAATTAGGTTCTAATCTGTTCCCCATTTATCACTCTCACCAGACAGTATATTAACAAACTGTCAGTGCTTCTGTACTCTTTTAATTCCTTGTGGAAATCTCTTACATTGGCCTGAGTAAGACTCTTGGTCTTTGATGAACATTTAAGGTACTGGTATTCCATCCCTAATAGCCTCAGATTCAATGAATTTGAATACATAACAGATGTGTACGGGTGGAATACTCAGTATATTTAGACATAATCTCCATTAATTACTATTAGCATGTAAGAATGGAAAGTGTCCTAATTTATGACTTGACCTTTGTTGAAGAGTTATCTCCCTCTTTTTTTAAGTAATAAAAATCAATTTTAAAAAATATACGGTAAAAAGATTGTTTTCAATTGTCATTCTATTTCTAATGATTTAATGCATCTTTCCACCACAGTATTTATTGATATTCTTATTATTTGAATTTTTATTTTAAAAAAATCGCTTGTCTCCATAGACTTCAATGCAATTTCTATTAATTAAATACTGCTTCGTTAATTACATTTTTGAAACTTTCACTAGGTAAATCCTTTTCTACTGTAAAGTTCTTTGAATTAATATCAGAGTATTATATACGTGATTGATATTTAAGGATAGAGAATTAGGTCCTATTAGGGATGGAAAACCTTCATAAGACAAGTCTACCTGATCATTAAAACTATGAAAGTACTTTTTGTATAATACAATAAAAATTCTTGCATAATTCTCTTATTCTATTAACCTTTCAAGTACATTATTTACAGTGATTAATTATCACAAGTAAATGGCAAAGGGGAATAACTCCTCTCAGTAAAATACAAATTAATAGAGCCCTGGCCTGGACTAGAACACTTGACCAAATGGTCTTGATGTTCAAAAATCTGGTAAAAATACCCTTCCTTATTAAAACTTTTACTCTTTTTGCCTCTGATATGCCCAGATGCAGAGAAGATTTTTAAAGCATTAATGCATTTTCACTATATAATAAATAGAGCCCCACCCTAACATCAGAACCTCTGATCCAGAGGTCATGAAATTCACAATTTTGGAAAAGGCATCCTTGCTTATCATAACCATGTATTTGTTTAAACAATACCCAGGAGAAGAGAAGAAGATTTTCAAAGAAATAATGCACTTTCACTATATGATCTATATAGCCCCGCCCTAACACCAGAACCCCTGATCCAGGGGCCATGAATTTCACAATTTTGGTAGAGTCACTCTTGCTTATCATAACTATGTATTCAATTTGTTTCAATAATACCCAGGAGTAGAGAAGAAGATTTTCAAAGAAATAATGCACTTTCACTATATGATCTATATAGCTCCGCCCTAGCACCAGAACCCCTGACCCTGGGGCCATGAATTTCACAATTTTGGTAGAGGGCTCAATGCTTATTACAATCATGCCAACAGTTTGACTGCTTGATGTCCAGGAGTAAAGAAGAAGATTTTTAAAGATTGCATTAATTTTGACGGTTTTGGCCCCAACCCTCAGGCCCCAAGGGGTGAGGGACCACGAATTTCACAACTTTTGTTCCCCTTCACCCATAGATGCTATAAGCCAAAATTGGTTGAAATTGGTTCACTGGTTCCAGAGAAGAAGCTGAAAATGTTCAAAAGTTTACGACCGATGAACGACGCACGATGACGGACAAAAAGAGATAGCAATAGGTCACCTGAGTCACTCAGGTGACCTAAATATAAAAGTAGATGGTGAATATAACAAAGGAAAATTTAAAAAAAGATGGCTATATTCTTGTAAAAGCCAAGTACTGTACAATTCATTTACATACAAAATAACACAATTGAAATACACATACGTGTAACTGTGAACCCATATTTTTTTAAAATGGAACTATGCACCGATTCTGGCATTTGGAAAATTCAAAACAGTTTGACATAAATAGTCTTTTCTAAGGATAGAATTTAACCACTAGAAATACGATATTTCGTATGTGCTTCTAAACTCCTATACAAAAGCTACTAATGCTACAAAAGATGCTAATGAAAACCTTTCAAAATTACATATTTTTTTCTTTGTAATACGTGACTTTGCCTCATATCCATCAGCAAAGGCTAACCCATCAGGCATTTTGTTTTCAAATTTGCTGTGTATCTTTTAACCACTTAATGGGCAATATTTAATTGATATACTATCATTGAATTTCTTCCCTGATTCTTTAAAAAAAAAAAAATGTTATAGTCTCCCTAATGCGTAATAATGAATATTTTTGCAAAATTCAGACAAAAGTAATAAATCTGGTTTTCAAAAGCTCATAAATTTCTAATGTACATTCAATTTATTAAACCAGTATGATTCCTTTAAAAATAGTGTTGTCAACGAGTACCCGGTTAACCGGTTAATCGTCGAACGATGCGAGTATCGGTTAGTAAAATTGCTACTCGGTTACTCGGATATATAGACAAAAGTAGAAAAGAAATGTTATTTTGTTCAGAAAGTCCTGCATTTTATTTACCGTTATTTAACATTAGACTTGATCTAGCGTTTCGCAAACACGACCGATTTGTTTTGATAACACTTAGTTTTCACAGTTTATCTAATTGATAGCTTTGATTGCCAAGCGATATGCAATGTAGAAAACCTGGGTTAATTATAATTACCTCACTTAAACAAGATAACGCCACAGCCATCAAAAGCATAGATTTGGAATTGTTTTAAAAGAATTTAAATCCGAAAGGTGTAAAATATGTAAAATGAAATTAACATACACAGAAACGAAACTAAAGCAGCGTTATATTTAGGACATCCGCAAAACTTGCCAACTATTACGGGATATTCGAGAACAAATTCATTTAGAAGCTTTAATTCGTCTTTTTGTAATAAAAAAAAAAAATAAATGACGTGCATCTACAGTGCATTTGCGTTTGATACTGGCCGGTATGTAAATGTTAAACATGGAAATTGTAACGATGTTACATATATTACAGTTATTAGTCCCCTACCGGTGAAACCGGAGGGGACTATAGGTTTCCTCTGAGTCTGTCCGTCCGTCTGTCTAGCTGTCTGTCTGTTTGTCTGTCTGTCCCCCTGTCTGTCTGTCCCACTTGGTTTTCCGCACTTTTTTCCTAAACGCTTGCAGATATTGAGCTGATTTTTGGTATGTGAGTGTACCTTGATGAGTTACAGATCAAGTTTGCATTTCGTTCCGCTTCATTGATTTTTGACGGAATTACGGCCTTTTCAATTTTTACGGGTTTTCCGCAATTTTCTTCTTAACGCTTTCAGATATTGAGCTGATTTTTGGTATGTGACTTTACCTTTATTAGTTATAGATCAAGTTTGCATTTCGTCCCGCTTCATTGATTTCTGACGGAATTATGGCATTTTCAATTCTTAACGGGAACTAGATTACAGTTTTCGGTAGGGGACTAGTATTGCTAATGCAATACTCTCAGAATGCTTGTTATTTAATACATACCGTGAGCAAGGATGTTTCAAGGTCTAAAGAAAAACCATCCGAGTAACCGGTTACTCGATCGGAAAAGTAAGCGAGTAACCGGTTACTAAAAATCGTCCGATTTGACAACACTATTTAAAGAGCATTTTAAACGTAAAATGAAAGAAGTGAATGCAAGATTATAGCTGTTATTGGAATTAGACCTATATCTTTTAAATGACCAAGAGAGCATACGGTGATTCTGACACAGATAAAAACTGACAAGTAATATACATAGGCTTTAAGCCTACACTGTAACTGCATCACAATTTTGTAAAATTTATGAACTTCCATTAAAAAGAATTCGACTGAAACTCTTTAAAAGGAAGAATTCAATAACCTTTCTTTCCATTATAATAACATCATCCCTAACACTAATTTTGCAAATTTTATGCAAAAGTTCAATAATTCAGGATAAAAAGAGAAACAGATTACATGATGCACTTATTTAGCATGTGATGATAAACGAGATAAGGTCCAAGCCTAGGAAATCTTTTTTGTAACAATTATTGTTTCCAATCCTATCCGAACCCCTCCCAACTTAATGCTATAATAAACATGCTTGCATATTAGTGGATATTCGAAGCCTCCACATAAAGACCTTACCATGTCAGTCTATAGATATTCATATTATTAGATCACAGATGGGATTTAGATTCCGTGGAATTAAGTATCATTATTCACAATAATGAACAAATACTTGTGAAATATGAGATTAAATAGGAAATTATTAGCACTTTCTCAAAAATACGAGAGAAAAAGAGTTTATATTGATGATTTTATTATAAAACACATGTGCATTTATCATAATTTTTTTTTAAAAATATGAGTCCATATGAAAATTTGAAAACTAAATATAGTCTTTTCTGACTCCAAAACAAAAAGAAACTTCAAAACTTAATAAGTATTCTATAACAAGACATATAATCTTTCACATTATAGACATCATGGTTATCTAAATCACATAACGGTAACAAATTATGTTTTAAACTGCATTTTTACAAACCCACAGATATTAGCTTTTTTTACTAATAAAATATTTCAAGCAATTTATATGAACAGAAAAAAGAATAAAAGCCATGTCCATGGAGAGGATTCCTTATCTAACCACATATTCCATGATATCATTTCTGTAGATTTCAGCATGTACATGTTGAGTTACTGTACATTATATTGTACTTTAAGCTATTATGTCTTTACATGTAAATCTTTATCTATGGTATATTTGAAAAATACAAAAAAGTCGATGGTGCATGGGAAAATATAGAAAACTGCAGCCATATTCTTGGAACACTCACTGTACCATTCATTTACACACATAATAACAAACTTGATCTAGGTACACTTATAATTCTGAACCCACACAAACCATGCCTTGAATCTAGCAAATGGAGAAATTGTGAATTTGTACTTTTTTTAAAAAGCTAAAACAAAAAAAAATCAGTTCAATCTAAAGTTAAAATTTGACATGCAGATTTTTTTTTTTTCAAATGTGCTTCTTAGCATAAAATACCTCTATAAACTATGTAAAGCTGATACAATTAAGTAAAATCTTGCTGTGTTTTTGGTGACTTATTTGTTCTATGTGACATTAACTCTAGAATGTAAAATAGGACATTCACCCACACTAATCACACAAAGCATGAGTCACAAAAATCAGCAACAGAGATTTGATACATAACAGTGATTGTCTTGTACATTATGTAGGAATGTTGAAATTTCCACCATCTATACCACTATGCTGTTCTTGTCTGCTGGCAGATATGATTAAAATTCCTAATAAAAAAAAATAGTACTAAAAATAATTTTTTTAAACATAGGTAATCAAAGATTATGAAGCTCACCTCGACGAATGTTATCTATATGTAAGGCAAATTTCACATCATATTTTTTTTCTAGTTAGGGTACATCCCAAGATCAATATCCATGCAAGTTTGATTTACTTATAGATCTGCTCAAAAAACTTTTGACCTGTTTAGTAATCAAGAAAATTTTGGTCAGTTCCAACATCCAAAGCAAGTCTGGAAGTTTTCATCCTTAGATGCACCATCTATGCAAGTTTAATCATAACAGGCCATAATATTATATAGCTACTCCAAAAAATTACCCTGGTCTCTCATCTGGAAAATGTACGTCAGATTCAGAATCCAAGGCAAGTCTGGAAGTATCCATCCCTAGATACATCATCCATGCTAATTTGGTTAAAATATGGCTAAAATTCACTCATGAGGAAATCTAGGTCAGATCCAGCATTCAAAGCAGGTTTGTTAGTGTACATCCCTAGATGCATCATCCATGAAAGTTTAGTCCAGGTAGGGCTTATAGTTACTTGGGAACGAGACTACTCCTAAATCTAAACCTGGTCTCACATGTGGAAAATCTAGGTCAGATCCAGCATCCGAAGCAAGTATGGTAGTGTCCATCCCTGGATGCATCATCCATGCAAGTTTGGTCTGGATAGGGCTTATAGTTACTTGGGAATGGACCTGCTCCTAAAACTTTAACCTGGTCACTCATCCGTAAAATCTAGGTCAGATCCAGCATCCGAAGCAAGTGTGGTAGTGTCCATCCCTAGATGCATCATCCATGCAAGTTTGGTCAAGGTAGGGCTTATAGTTACTTGGGAATGGACCTGCTCCTAAAACTTTAACCTGGTACACATCTGGAAAATCTACATCAGATCCAGCATCCAAAGTAAGTGTGGCCATGTCCATCCCTAGATGCATCATCCATGCAAGTTTGGTCAACGTAGGGCTTATAGTTACTTGGGAATGGACCTGCTCCTAAAACTTTAACCTGGTCACTCATCCGGAAAATCTAGGTCAGATCCAGCATCCGAAGCAAGTGTGGTAGTGTCCATCCCTAGATGCATCATCCATGCAAGTTTGGTCAAGGTAGGGCTTATAGTTACTTGGGAATGGACCTGCTCCTAAAACTTTAACCTGGTACACATCTGGAAAATCTACATCAGATCCAGCATCCGAAGCAAGTGTGGTAGTGTCCATCCCTAGATGCATCATCCATGCAAGTTTGGTCCAGGTAGGGCTTATAGTTACTTGGGAATGGACCTGCTCCTAAAACTTTAACCTGGTCACTCATCCGGAAAATCTACGTCAGATCCAGCATCCGAAGCAAGTGTGGTAGTGTCCATCCCTAGATGCATCATCCATGCAAGTTTGGTCCAGGTAGGGCTTATAGTTACTTGGGAATGGACCTGCTCCTAAAACTTTAACCTGGTCACTCATCTGGAAAATCTACATCAGATCCAGCATCGGAAGCAAGTGTGGTAGTGTCCATCCCTAGATGCATCATCCATGCAAGTTTGGTCCAGGTAGGGCTTATAGTTACTTGGGAATGGACCTGCTCCTAAAACTTTAACCTGGTCACTCATCTGGAAAATCTAGGTCAGATCCAGCATCCGAAGCAAGTGTGGTAGTGTCCATCCCTGGATGCATCATCCATGCAAGTTTGGTCAACGTAGGGCTTATAGTTACTTGGGAATGGGACTTGCTCCTAAAACTTTAACCTGGGACGCCGACGCTAAACCCGACGCCGACACCGACGCTGGGGGTATAGCATAAGCTCATCTCGACTTCGTCGAGGTGAGCTAAAAATGTCTTCATCATACATGTACAAGTATCTATATATATATACTAGGGTTGTTCGGAAAGTTCGTGGACTTCTGTCATATCTTTTTTATTTAACATCATATTTTATCCAAATTTGGTAGAACTATTTTAACAATAAATTCAAATGATTTGTATTAATTTTTTTTTAAAATATCTTGATTTATTTCAAACTTATTAGGAGTTAATAACTGCGAAAATTGGTTCGCGGAGCAAGTCAAAATTTAAAATTAACAAACAATACACTAAAATGTCTGTAGTCATATCCTCTGTAAAATGGCTCAAAACCAAAATAAATCTAGACGATCAAATTATTAATTGTTATATCGTTTCATATTCCAAATTATGACTTGTTTGCTTCATGGAAAAGAAATCAATTTCCGGAGATAGGTAGTCCCCATTGAAAAAGGCAAAAAAGGTGACGTCGTAGACCGTCACGGAGCAGCAGTTTACGATACAATTTTCTGTTGTACTCTGGAAAACGTCACAATAAAATCTGAAAATGTTGATGGAAGCGTGAAATATCTCAAAGCGAGTCATGCATGCGTGTGTAAATGGCCCAGGCGGCATTTAAATGATAGATACTCTTTATTATATACCCATCAATTTCCTTGTTTTTGTTACTGTTAATTTTACAGAGTGTGATCCGACTTTCCAGATCACCACACTGTGGTTTTCTGAATCCATATCACCCCTCTCTGAAACTGATGACGTAGTACACAGATAAATGACGTTTTTATTCTCGCGCATCAAAAAGTTCCTTGACAAAATGGTTTGTTTAATGGATAAAAGTTATGTAATTGATACAAAAAAGTTTTCCTTTTATTATACTTTGCTAGTTGTAAAGGGGTATATAATAAATTTATCATTATAACAGTAACTTGATCCGAAGAGCCGTATCACGTCTCGTTGACAGGCGCGGATCATCAGATCAAACTCGACGCTTCGCGTCTCGTTTGATCTGATGATCCGCGCCTGTCAACTCGACGTGATACGGCTCCTCGGATCAAGTTACTGTTATAATAATATATATATATCAGACGAGGACTATCTGTGAGAAAACGGATTACCTGTTAAACCTTTAGCTAGTAAGGTCTTGGAAAGAGAAAGGCGCTTCACGATTGCTGGTCTTGTGAAAGCATAGTTAAGCGGTAAAAAAAAGAAAACATATGCTACTGGAACAATTATTAACAAAATGAATTTCAATTTATAGAGACAGGTTTTAAATGAGCAGATATTGGACCAGACTGTGTGAAATGTATAGGGAGAATATTTTGAGAACCTCTTGACGCTATATTTTTGACGTTATAATGTTGCTCTGGAGTTATCAAACATGTTGATTTTAAAATAAAGTAAATTGATAAATCGAATGGAATGAAATGTCACACATCAACAGAATAAATATTTTTACATATGATAATGTACTTATATTAAATTTCTTGAAAGTAGTATAACGAGGATTGACATTGTCCACGAACTTTCCGAACAACCCTCATATTTCAATTTAAAAATGTGCATCCCTCAGCATTGAACAGTAATTAGCATGTACATACATATTGTTAGACTGAAAAAGTAATTAGAATTGAAAATTGTTTTACTATTCATTATTTAACACCAGAGAAATATTCTAGTCCCACACAGATAATATTCACAAATCACAGCCACCTATTTCATTGGAATATCAATATACAATTGTGGACTGTTTAGAAGGGAGACATCACCATGCAATTATCAGGTCTGAGTAGGGCTGTCACCCAAGGGTGCTTGCGCCTGAGGCTGACAACCCTAGTCAGACCTGATAATTGGTGATGTCTCCCTTCTAAACAGTCTATAATAGTTCTATTAACCTGAAAAATCTAAATTATTTATAAGACAGAGTAGAAAATATCAGTTAAACCTCTTGTGTTCTCCTACCACTGCTCAGATTCCATACTTTCAAAATCTGTCAACTGACAACTTTGACGTCACCGTTGGAATTTATTGTTTACCGATCCCGCATAAATATCAGTCATATAATTATAAATATGAGTCATCTTGCTTATGGCACTTTATTTTCATCCAATAGGGAGACAACACAAGTGTCACCCTGCATGCTCGCTTGCGCTATTTCATTGCTTTCTGAAGCATGACAACATAGTTGTCACCTGTGCATGAGGGACACATCACAAATTGTCTCCCCGCACCTGACATGCTCTAAACCAATCAGATTGACTGTATAATTCTAAAGGATAATAATACATTCTGCATGAAGTTAGGATTTATCAGATTTTATATGTGTAATCACATTTCATTCTTTTCATCAGCAACAGATATCCATGCTAGCATGGATGATTTTCAAATTAAAAATCCAGATATGTACAATTATATGCAATTTTTTCAAATGCAAGGAGACGTATCATTTTTTTGTCTTGAAAGATATTTATTGATCAAATTCCAAAGGGAAAAAGCAAAACCCTTGTTTCTTTTCACATTTCTGAGATACATATGGGGCATTGGTGATATTTCTACATGGCAAAGGACTATGTTCGGTATTGACCAATATTTGCCCCCAAAATCAAACTTTGACAGAGAAATCTAAAATTCTGTTCTAAACCAAGGGGATATCTGCAGACCTCAAATCATTAAATATTTTCTCAGCCATGACGCCATATGTTAGATATGACATCAGGAAAATGACGTAATTTCAAAATTTCCATGATTTATAGAGAAAAAGGTGTACAGTACATCGATATTTTGAGTAAAAGTCATTGAGCGCAGGTCTGCTCCAGCTCAATGTTTTGATATAATGTGAAGAATGATAGTATTTATGAAATATGTGAATATTGTCTTGGAGCAAGTTTGCACTCTATAACATATCTAGTAAAAATTGAGCAAATTTTGTCCATTTTGTCCTTTTTTCTGAAAAATAACAAAGAATCCAAATGATTTATGACAACATAGTAATCAAAACTGCTAAAACCAACTTCGAAATTACAATATTTTTTGTTAATTCAGATTTTTCATACAACATATATAATTCAGCACATTTCAAGAAATGTTCAAAATTTGACTTTTATGGGGGCAAAAATATGCGTATACCGCATATAGCTCTTTATTTTAAGAATCTATTGTGACAAAGCAGATATACAAAATATTTATTTATATACCTATTTGTGAATTGTTTGAGTGAATGAACTCCTGATTCATATAAGCTGAGGGATATATACATTTAATTCGGGAATATTAACTCAGAATGAAGTTAATTTCTGGCAGTTTTGTTTGTGTAGAACATGAACTTACTGAGCATGATGAGGCCTGTTTTTCTGGGTCCTGCAGTTTTTACCCCAGTAGCAATCATTTCTTTTCGTAACAGCCTCTGCAACCACAATCCAGTCATCATTAAAAAATGTATGTTCATGCACATATAAAATACCGCTCAAAAATGACAAATTTTTCTAGAGTACATTGCGTGCATTCACTGCAAGATAAAAAGGTATTGGAATGAAGATTTGAAAATTGTCACATGAAAAAATCATTTTTCACACCTGCAAGATGCCAGTGATGAAATTGCCTGTGCCATTTTACTTCCATTTTCTGGTTAAGATCTGTTATTCAGTGTCCAGCATTTCTGCTGTAATTATACCCTATCTTTAAAGGTAGGGGTATAAAGGATTATTTTCTTTAACAGTTTTGTCATTTAGAACATCATTTTGTTTATTTGCACACACTTTTAGCCCATGGATGAAGGACGTCTTGTGGTAAGTTTAGTACAAATTGGTCCTCTGATTCTGGAGATGTCAAAATTGTAAAAAAGTTACTAGACGACAGGTAGACTATTTACAATAGGTGATAAGAAAAGTTCACTTGAGCCTTCATTTCAGGTGAGCTAACAAAAACAAAAGCGATAAATTTTTTTAATTCTTTTAACCAAAGACCTCAAATTACCATGTGATGCATACACAGATGAACATTTGTGCCACAAAAATCAGTTACATATATTTTTTGATACCCAAATTTATTTCTGTCCATGTTTTTTTTTTCTGCTCATGCTTAGGAAATAATGAGATATTCTGGTCTGACACCAAACATTTTAATTAACTTTAACTCAACTTCAAATTCTTCCCTTACCCACCAAGAACCATATTTGAAATTTTGCAATTATTAGAATCCCATATTTTTGCCTATGAAGAAAAGATACATATTTATTGAACTAATATATGTATATCACTTCAATAAAATTCAATGCCTCTAAATACTTAACATGAACAGGTGGCACAGGTGTGTTCCAAATTTTACAGTTAAGGCAAAACAGTAACAAACCATTAGGAGTACCCCTCTGCTGAAGTTTGTTCCCATTTTGCTTTAACTGTAAAATTTGGTATTCCCACTTTCGCCTTAGTAAGCTCTGAGGTGAATTAAAACAGTTAAGGCAAAATGGGAATACACCCTCCTAATCACCCATGAAATGACAAGCTTTCTAGATATCAATGTACACACCTGGTAAGTCCTCTTTCTTTATATCTGCCCTATAACAATACGCTAAATCTTTAAAGTTCCTCAGAGCACACGGATAACAAACTGTTGTGTTAGATGTCACTATCAGTCGTCCCTGGTCTGAAAAACAAAGTTAATCTGAAACATTAATTTTGATTTTTAAAAATGCACCAAAGATGAAATAAGTCAAATTTAAAAAGTTAAAAGTAAAAATTGAAAGCCTCTAAGATAAAAAAAATTCTCTCTACAGTAAAAATTCCTTGGATATAGTTCTAAAAGTATATATCAATCTTGATCTTCATTTCTGGAATTAGCAGTGTCTTGTCATATTACAGTGCATCCATATAAAAGTATGACATCACCCGTTTACTCAAACAGCATTAGTAATACATGAATGTTGATGCTATTTCCCATTTGTCAGTTTAAGAATCAGTTTTGTAACTGTCATCAGATATATACGTAATAAGTTTACCTATACATTTGTAATACCCTGTATCCAATTTTAAGAATTCAGTTTTGTAACTGTCATCATTGATACATAATAAGTTTACCTGTACATTTGTAATACCCTGTATCCAATTTTTCCATACACACATCTTTCATCTCATTCAATGTAATTTTTTTCTCTTCAAGATAGTTCTAAAATTTAAATTATGAAGTGAAATACATGTATTAAAATAAATAAGTCTTCATTTTGCAATTGTATAATTAAATATCTTTGACAATTTATCATGCACGTTAAATTACCTTTAAAATCTCAGATTCAAAGGGGTTTTCTAAAATCAAATTTTGAAGACATTTTCTTCCAAAAACTATATCTGAAAAAGATACAAAATACCAATATTTGATTGAGAGGATAATCTGACAATTTGAAATTCTTTATCATATCAGGCATTGCTTTTTTTATCCATGCAGACACAACATAAATTCAAATAATACAAATACAGTCAAACATCATCTTGAACGCTCATACATGTATCTCAAATACCAGGGATATGGCAAAGTGAAATGGCAGTCTCCACAATTTTTTCAATGTTTATTACCTTTGTTCAGTGTTGTTATCTAAAATCCTCTCATATCTTGAAGTTTAATCTTGGTCCCATTGAGTTCGAGATAACGAAGTTTGTTATAACTTCAAACCTCATTATCTCGAACTGAATGGGGTCGAGAAAAAACTTCAAGATATCCGAGGATTCAAGATATCCAGGGTAAAATACTTAAAGAATAGGTAGTTGGGACTTTCAAATCACTTTGACATATTCATGGTACTCGAAATATCAGTGTTCGAGATTCCAAAGTTCAACTGTATATATACATGTATTATATAATACTCTCAAAATTATATATCAGCTATATGAGTGATTCCCATCCTCTTCCAAATTGATGTAAACAAACTTAATCAGCAGTTCTGAAGATGTTTTTTTTTCTTGTTTGGTTAACATACCATTCATTTCTTACCTTTGAATCTGCCTATACAACCCATACATTCAGCTTTTCTACAACCCCAGTATGCATGGCAAAATGATCTTAAACACAGAGCACCTAAGACAAAAATATGCTTATATGTGTATACATGTAACTAAGATGATTTTATTTTCATATACATATATATAAACCAAGGTAACTCAATATGTGACAAATCTTAAATTCTTTCTGTGAAAAGGGGTTAGATATCACCTCTGGACTATAAGATGTATTTATTAAGGCAGGTCAAAAATATAGTTGATTTGCTCAGATGACATTGAGTTTCTCCCCATAACTTTGTAATACAAAATGATCATAATTATAAGCTTCTAAAGAATATCATAATATTATACATATTTATTTTATTTTCTCCTGAGTCCCAATTTTTTATTTATATTAGTTTAATGTAATTATTCATTCTTAATGCAAACTAAACTTTGATGTAGTATATTTTTTCAGTAAATGTGTGTCTTCACAAATTTTGTGAATTTTTTCCCCTAATTTTTTCAATATCTGGCTACTATAAATGTTTTAGGAATCAAATTTATGAGATATACAATCAAATATATTTGTGTAAACAAAATCTTGTATTGGTGACTACACTATTGATAGTTATGGGTATTCTATACACACATTGTTGTCGTGCGTCCATTATGATCCGTCTGTCTGGCATTGGCTGTAAACAACACTGACAGAGAATGTGATTCTGGTTCGGAACACACACATACTGCTGGGGAGTAACATCTTGTTTTGTGTCATCTTTCTTCTTTCTTTCTTCAAAATCTTAAAAAAACAAATATAAATTTTGCATAATCATGGCATATAAATGCATCATAGACCTCAAAGCTTATCAAAGTTAATGATTATTTCTATTTTATATACAGTCAAACCCCATTATCTCAAACTCAATAGGACTGATGAAGATCCAAGTATTCAAGATATCCTGGTTGAAATACTTAAAGAATAAGAGGTTTGGACTTCCAAATCACTTCAACATGTCCATGGTATTCGAGATATCAGTGTTCGAGATACTGAAGTTCAGATGTACATGTATGTACATGCACATACCATCAGCTTCAACCTCTGTTGATGTTGTAGGCAGTGTGCCTTGACTGTCATCAGATGAGGTGCCCATCTGATTGGTTGTGGACTGAACACCTCCTGATGGGCCTGCCTGATTGGCCTCTGTAGTGGACTCTGCCTGGTTGGCCTGTGTTGTGGGCACTGCCTGGTTGACCTGTGTTGTGGGCACTGTCTGGTTGCCACCGAAGTAATTCCTCACTGTATTGATAACTGAACAACAAAGATGGAAATACTGATTACTATTTTTCATATAAAGAGGTCTCTGTTTGCTGTTTTCTAATGCATGAAAATCATTTAATATGATTTTGCTGTTTTATATAAGATGTGAAAGTATACTTCCAGCTATACCAGAAGTCTCTGATGAGACTGTAACTCTACTGCTGCCTTTGATATTCAGTGAAATCTGTTGAATCCAACACACACTTGGAGACAAAATTTGTGTCAAAAAAGACATGGTGCTGGATTACAGAGTTTAAAAAAACATGGAAAATGGGAATGAAATTATGTTTGGAATTCACAGTGAAATGGATTGCACAGGTGTGACATTTGACAGTTTGCACTGTATATTTTACAGACTGTATTTATTTAATTTTTATTTTTGATGACAAATGATCCTTTCTGTAATCTGTATATATAACACAGATCAAACGTATTCGGAAATAATAATGGCTTAATTTGAAAAGCAAAACAGCTTCTTGTGCAGTCAAAGTAAAAATTGATGACAAGAACATTTATCAGTTTATCAGGCAAAATATTCATCAATTTAAAGACTTTTAGTTATTATTAAGAACATAACATTTTTCCAAAACATATCCAGTTTTATTCAAATCAGACCATAACTGTAGAAGGAGTAGCACTTTGAAATAATTTAACAGATTATTCTTTTTTTCAGTAAACACAATAATACTATTCATCAAAATTAAAAAAATCTATAAAGAGAACCATATATGTTAATTTTTTTTACACTTGTTCCAGGTTTACTGATATAAGACTAAAACTTGAGACTGGGCAGCATTATTATTGTTTACAGACAAGGAGAACAAGGAGACAGATGGATGGAGTAATGACAGGCTACCAAAGCACATATAGGCTTGTCTGGCCAACCATCATTGACCACATACATGTACATAAGCATGTACATCCAAGCAGTCTGAACTGCAGTTTAGCAGCATGACAGCAAATTTTCAACTTTCATTTCATGTCATTCATGATTTGTTATCACATGCTGTTCAATTTCAATAAATCTGGAATGATATTTTGTTGATTAATGCGTATTTTTAAATATCTAGCAGCTTGATATTTACCTGTTCCCAGAACACCTGTACCAGCTGTGTTGGGATCAACATAGTTTGGACATTGTCGACAAACAAACCTCACTGGGTTCCTATCAAACCAAAATAAATCACATGGTATGTTTTAAGTCACAGTATACATTTTTTCATTTATGGTGATGATTTGGCCAACCAAGTTTTAAGAGACTGTTCATGAACTATTTGTAGATTTTAACAGTGCAAGACTAGTGTTTGCATACATGTATGATTACTGTTTTAATACTTGTACCATGTTTTAAATATGTTAACAATTTGTTAGCAATAAAACAATATAAGCATACCAGTGTCTAAATGACCCAAAAGCTGGATTGAGGTCATTCAATGTCACTGTAGGAGAAGGTCTATATAAAATCAAAACATTCTGTTAGTAAAATCACCATGTTTAATCAACAGTTTGTTTTTTTCTTGAAATCACTGAGCATTAGGTGTTATAAACTAATACTATAGTCTGATTTCTCTCTTCAATCTTAAATATTCACATTTCCAATTATTTGCCCTGAATATATTTTACAAATGAAAATGCAGTTAATTTTTACTCAATTTCACAAATGCATGAATATTTCCATTTTGACATTGTAATACCATACTTGACATAAAAATTGTAGTCCATTCTGTCTTTTTTTTAATTTTCAAAAATACGAGTTGAATAACAAAATTCATGGCTAATCATTAGTTATATGTAAGATAGGAATTTCATTTTTACAATGAGATTTGATTTGTCTGCATATTTATCATGAAGCACTAACAGGCATATTAATTCATGTTTTAAACTTGAATATTTAGACTAAAACACATAAATCTTGTGAATGATATGGCTTCAAGAATTTATACAAGCACAAGTATACATGTTTTCCTCAATCAGTAATAATAAGCCTAACCTACTTACTCATTTTCAATTTCATCAGAATCCTCTTCATAATCATCGCTGTCCTCTCCACTTTCATCAGCATCAAAAACCTTGTTCTTCAGCTCCTTAGGATATAACTGTAAAAGAAAATACAATTAATTGACCATTACAGATCAATTAAACAAGTAATGTATCCAGTTTACACTGTTTTCTTTCTTAATAGATACACCTATGTGAGCATGTCCAGTTGCCAAAAAATTTGAAGGAGATTTAATCATGAATTTTAATCAAATTCTTAGACAAGTAAAATAAGCAAAAATATATTAATAAAACTGATTTATTATAAGTTCTTGCCATTTTCAAGTTACATCAGAAATATGCTCTCAATGAAGCAGAGGTTTCCTGTTTGTGACTCACAAGGGAGATAATACTAGTGTACAAACAAACAAACAAACACACCATATCTCTACTTATCGTGTTCTTGGCATCCAATTCTTTAATATCTTCCTCTGATCTCTTCTTCTCTAATATTTTTCAATTAAAAAAATTATAACAGTAAATCACAAATACAGTGAAATGCATTAAAAAACACTGAAATACTATTGTGTGATCTTATACACAGGCATGCCTCAAGTGGACTGTTTAAAATACAAATTAATAAAACGGTTCTAATATATTACTTACCTGGGTGTTCTTTGAGGTAAGCCTCAATCAGATTGTTCACAATGTGGTTCTTATTGATCCTATCCACTTTAAGTCGACACTAAAAAATACACAATACCTTATGTCAAAAGTGGTGTCTGACATTTTACTAATAGTGAATTTTGCTCATTCTATCATTTTCAATTCTTAAACATGTACGTATCTAATATTAATTTGAACAAAGCACTTCAGCAACAAGTAATAATAATTATATTTCTAATGTGTGTAAATGTATACAGATTGTGGACACTCATACAGATTGAGGACACTAATACAGATTGTGAACATTTATACAGATTTTGGACACTTAAAAGGATTGTGGACATTCACACAGATTGAGGTTACTTATACAGATTGGGGACACTCATACAGACTAAGGACATTCATTTATATTGAGGACACATATACAATTTGTGGCACTTGTAAAGATGGTGAACACTTACACATTTTGTGGTCAATCATACAGATTGTGGATACTTACACAGATTGTGGACACTTATAAAGATTGTGGACACTCATACAGATTGAGGACATTCATACAGATTGAGGACACTTTTATAAATTGTTGACACTTAGACAGATTGTGGACACTTATACAGATTTTGGACACTTATAAAGATTGTGACCACAAATACAGATTGAGGACACTCATACTAATTGTGGACACTTTTTAAATTGTTGACACTTACAAAGATTGTGGACACTCACACAGATTGTACACACTAGACATATTGAGGACATTCCTACAGATTGAGGTCACTTTTAAAAATTGTTGACACTGAAAAAGATTGTGCACACTTATACAGATCGGGGACACTCATACAGATTGTGGACACTTTATAAAATTGTTGACACTTAAAAAGATTGTGGACACTATTCAAATTGAGGACACTTATACAGATAGATGGACTCATACAGATTGTTGAAATTTATACAGATTAAGGACACTCATATAGATTGAGGACACTTCCACAGATTGTGGACACTCATACAGATTGAGGACAGTCACACAGATTGTGGACACTCATTCAGAATTTGGACATTTATACAGATTGAGGACACTTATAAAGATTGTGGACACTCATACAGATTGAGGACACTTTTACATATTGTTGACACTCATACAGATTGAGGACACTTATACAGATTGTGGACACTCATACAGATTGTGGACACTTATACAAATTTTGAACACTCATACTGATTGTGGACACTTGTAAAGATTTTGAACTCTCATACAGATTGAGGGCACTTCCACAGATTGTGAAAGCTTATAAAGATTGTGGACACTTATACATATTGAGGACACTCATACAGATTGAGGACACTTCCACAGACTGTGGATACTTACAGAAGGACATTCTGAAGACCTCTTCATCCAACCTGAGTAACAACCTGCACAGAATGTGTGCATGCAGGGCTGGAGACTGAAAGCAGACAAATCAAACCACATCACAAAAATCAATATTCCTCTACATGTAGTCTAAGTGATAATTGGGAAAAAGATGATCAGAACAAAATACACTTGATCTTCGCTATCTCGAACACTGATACATTTATCTCGAATACCATAGAAATATCGAAGTGAATTGGAAGTCCCAATGACTTATTCTTTAAGTTTAACCCTTGACATCTGGAATACTTGAATATCTCTAAGTTTTTTCTCAGGTCCTATCTACATGAAGTTTGAGATAATGAGGTTTGACTGTCCAATAGTATCAGAGATGTGCATGTCTCACCTGACACAGTCATGCATGATCTCCTGACATATGATGCATACTAAAGCCTCCTCTATCTCATCTTTTTTCTCAGCTATAGCTTCACTGTCTTTGATACTTTTTGTTTGGGCAGTCTTTGAAGTACACTTTTCTTGATCTGCTATAGATGTTTCATTTTGTGACTTATTCTTCAACTCTACAGACTTCTCAATGTCCATTTTTTCCTCACATTTTTCCAATTTCTCTATTTTTTCACTTTTAAATTTCTTTGCTGGTTCCATTGGGGAGGCGGGTTCCTGAGAAGAGAAAAAAGAAAAAAAAATCTCTTTAAGACAAAAACTGTTACATAGATCATGTAGACAAGTAAGCAGTCAAAATTTATTACTAGTTTTAACAAACATGAATATAATTAAGTATTTTATGTGAATAAAACCGAACATATTTTATTCACAATGAAATGTTTAAATATATTAAATTATGTAAAACCTACATTAGGTCTCTTTCTTGATTTTGGAGAATTTTCCGTGGACTCCACCTCATTTATATCATCATCTAATACAATGAGAAATGTAATTAATTTTTAGTTTATTTTCAAGTGCAGGAAAATGACATCTCAAAATTAAAAGAGGCACGTACCCTACAATACAGTCCCCTTCTAACATGATAAAATTTTCTATACATTCATAGATATTCATTTTTCTATACATTGATTCATTCATAGATATTCATAGGTCTTAATTTTATACTAATATTTTATTTGCCACCACAGTTACTTGTGGACAGGAATCCCCCCTTTCCCCCAAATTTCAACCCAGGGGTTTTGTTGGGAAATTTCTTCACAATTGATATTTCTTACACATTGAACATGTATACTACAGGAAAAATTGGGAAGAAATGCAAAATAATTGTTCTATACAAAAAATATTCTACTTTACCTCATAATACATTATATTGTATTATACATTATAATGTAAAGTGGGGTATTTTTTGTATGAAACAATTATTTTGCATTTTTTCCAATTTTTCCTGTAGTATACTAGCTGCAGATCTGTAGCTCGCTGGTCTGAAAAAATTCGGAAGTACAACCAGAGAGCTACAGTGCCACCCATTGAAAAAAGTGTGGATTTTTTGGGTACAAAAAAGAGCGCTGTTTCTCAATTTATTTCTCAGTAATATTTAACAAGAGGCCCATGGGCCTTGAATCGCTCTTCTGATAAACTGTACAACCTATCACTTCTATTTGAAGCCTCAAAGTATCCTGTATATTTAGATAAACCCTTGAAATTCCAATTCACACTCTGAGAACCCAAGATGATTCTAAGCCAATTGGTCATGGTGACCTACTTATCACTTGTCATTCTCTGAGTACCAATCAACTAAGTTTGATGATTCTAAAATATTTTTTAAAATTATAACCATAAAATTTTATACGTAGGACAAAGTGACCTACTTTTCAATTGTTTTACTCCAAGGACCCAAAATGCATCAACTGACAAAGTTTGATGATTCTAAGCCAATTAGTACCTGTAATATTTAATTAAAGCCATAAATTTTCAAAAGTAGGTCACCGTGACCTACTTTTCAGTTCTCCGAGGACCAAAGATACATCGACTGACAAAGTTTGATGATTCTAGCCAATAAATACCTAAAATATTTAATTACAGCCATAAATTTTCAAAAGTAGGTCACGGTGACCTACTTTTCAGTCAACCTACTCCGAGGACCAAAGATGCATCAACTGACAAATTTTGATGATTCTAAGCCAAATAATTCCTAAAAATATTAAATACAGCCATAAGATTTCAAAAGTAGGTCACCGTGACCTACTTTTCAGTTATTGTACTCCGAGGACCCAAGACACATCAACTGACAATGTTTAATGATTCTAAGCCAATTAGTACCCGAAAAATATTTGATTAAAGCCATAAATTTTCAAAAGTAGGTCACCGTGACCTACTTTTCAGTTGTTGTACTCCGAGGACCCATGACGCATAAACTGACAAAGTTTTATGATTCTAAGCCAATTAGTTCCAAAAATATTTTATTAAAGCCATAAATTTTCCGAAAGTAGGTCATGGTGACCTACTTTTTAGTCGACCTACTCCGAAGACCCATGACGCATCAACTGACAAAGTTTGATGATTCTAAGCCAATTAGTACCCGAAATATTTAATTAAAGCCATATAAATTGAAAAGTAGGTCACAGTGACCTACTTTTCAGTCGACCTTTTTTGAGGACCCAAGATGCATCAACTTACAAAGATTTATGATCATAGGACTTAAAATGTCCAAATTATGCCTCTAAAACGCTTTGAAATCGAATGCCTGCAAAGTTCAAAAAGTAGGTCACTGTGACCTACTTTTTAATAAATATGTTTTATGGCCCCAAGATGCATCATCTTACAAGATTTAATGATTCTAAGCCTCCCCGTATTCGAATTAATGACCTTAATTGTTTTTAAAAAGATTAGCCATAAAATTTGAAAAGTAGGTCAAGGTGACCTACTTTTTAGTTGACGTACTTTGAGGACCCAAGATGCATCAACTGACAAAGTTTGATGATCATAGGCCTTAAATTGTTCAAAATATGCCTCTAAATCATTTTGAAAAAGAATGGCCGCAAAATTTAAAAAGTAGGTCACCGTGACCTACTTTTGAGTCAACATGATATGAGGACCTTTGATACACCAACTGACAAGATTTGATGATCCTAGTCCTTATAGTAAGCAAAATATCAACATTTTAATGAAATGTAATTTTTGATCAACTTTGAAGTGACCTTGAGACCACGCCCTTTGCCCCAGGGTAAATCCCCGTGCAAATTTTAATCTACATCATATCTTCATCCTTTTGTGTAAGTTTGGTGATAATCTGCCCAGTGGTTCTTGAGAAGAAGATTTTTTAGCAACCAGTACTTTTGTTTCTATTTTCCTAATTATCTCCCCTTGTTAAAGGGTCACAACCCCAGTTTTAGTATAAAAGGGAGCCCTTGGGCCAAGGATACCCTGTGACAAATTTGACAATAATTGGCCAAGGGGTTCTTGAGTTATGGCCCATATTCTTAAAAGTTTACGCACACCGCACACCGCACACCGCACAAATGGCCATAGCATTAGCTCTTTGAGCCTTTGGCTCAGAAGAGCTAAAAATATTACTTTCTGTGTGTTCCTAACATATCATTTTACTACTTCCACAACAAAACTGTTTGTGCAAGTTATGTACGAAGCGCGTTGGACCACCCAAGATGGCAGTATAAATGGGCAAAATTTTTGATGGTCTCCATTTCAGGCCCGGGGGGGGGGGAATAAATATACACTTTTTTTTCAATGGGTGGCACTGTAGCTCTCTAGTTGTTCATTACAGTTTTTCAGACCAGCAAGCTACAGATCTGGACCTAGTGGCATACATGTTAAATAAGTGTAATAACTAGAGCAGAGCTCGTTGCAAAGCAACGAGTAGGTCTTCCGTTGGAGCTGCGAACAGGAAGAAGTGACCTTGAGTCAAGGTCATGCCACATTCTAAGGTTATAAGCAATCTTGTAAGGGGTATCAACTTGCAATGTCTCACCAGTAGAAAGACAGTTAAGGAATGTTATTTCTCCGTTGATGACCTTGAACTCGTTCAAATGACCTTGCATCAAACCATGACACACTCTGGTTATAAGAAAACCCCATCTATATGTAACTGACTCGACAAGTTAACACATGTTCTTTCAGACCATTCATCCAGTCAAAACATTCTTTCCTTAGTGACCCTAAATTTAATCAATATGGCCGTAGGAACCGAGGGGGGCGTGCCCCCCAATAATTTTGCCGATATATAGATTACAATAGTAGACATAGATACTATAGCTTGTGCCACCTCAATAAAAACGTCTGATAACCTTCTTTTTTTTTTTTTTTTGCTTGTCAAGGAATTTTTGGTAGTTGGTGACCTTTTTTTTTTTTGCTTGTCAGGAAATTTATGGTAGTAGTGCCCCCTAAACTGTCAACTGAAAATGTATGGCTGTGCCCCCCCCCCCCAAAAAAAAAAACTGAATTTGCTTCCTATGGGCCTGATCAAGACAATGATACACTCTGTATGATATCAGCGATACCCTTTTGTGTGTTTCGGACTTGACAAGTTCACAGTTTGCATTTATTGCATGATAGTGAGGGAGACATGAAGATTTCTTCGCCCATAAAAAATCATATTCCGCGAGGGCAACATGAAGATTTCTTCGCCCATGAAAAATCATACTCCCCGAAGGCAACGCCAGAGGGAAATATGATTTTTCATTTGCGAAGAAATCTTTATGCTCTATTATGCAATAAATTGTTTATAATACCGAATTAACCAAAATGCAGGAATTACAAAGGAGATCCAATGAATAAAGCAAACATGCATTTGATGAGAACGATATGAAAGAGATGTAAGTTACAGGTACACCAATAGCCTCGTTTCATTAAAGAAAAATTCCTACGTGACAAGTTTGTGTGATCAAACCAGTAACATTCAAACACCATTACATTTTTACACATTTAAATCGACACAATCAATCAACGATAATATGTTGACGGTGCGACCGTTGGGCGAGTGCATTGTTCACTTAATTTTAAGATCCGCCTCTTCAAACAGCACGAGACATTTGGAACGTCTAGACTGTGACGTCTCATGACGTATGTTAGCTGTACTTCCATAAACGAATTTTGAAAAGTGCAAACATTTTAACAAAGAACGTTTAATCTACTATCTGTATGCAATTCCATTAATTAAGGTGATTTTTTGGGGGTGAATTTTTAGTTGTTGTTACCGCACGAACGAAGTTAGCAGCGTCGCTATAAACAATCTAACTCCTCACTCGTTTAATTGTGACGTCACAATCGTGAAACACGACGTTTTGTTGCAGGGCAAACATGATGGACACGTGACTTTCTCGGCCAATCAAATTCTATTTTACTAGTGATTTTTCACTTGTAAGCTAGTTTTCACAGAGGTATAATAAACGTTTTTTAGACCATACATCGAAATAAATTATCATAATTTCTATAGTCGTAATTTATTAGGTTCAACTCACTGCTCTAAAGGATCATTGTAAATGTTTTATGCCCGATTTGGATACTGAACAACGTGTGATTTTTGAAACACTGATGCCCCCATATGGCATCTTATGGCAAAAGTTAAAGTTTCTCAAATGCAAGTCAAACTCCATGGTCAAGATCAAAAGATAAAAAAATGTTATTACCCAAATAAAGGTCTTGAACAAAGAATATACTGTGAAATATATACTAGTATAGCAGCAACAGTTTAAAAGTTATTGCCAAGGTTAATTTCTTTAAAAGGTCAAACTCCAAGGTCAAGGGATCATAATTGTTTGTACTTGAGGGAAGGTCTTAATTGTTACAAGGAATACACACATGGTTTTAAAAAAGCCTTAGCACCAACTGTTCAAAAGTTAAAACCAAGGTTAAAGTTTTTCAAAAGTAGGACATACTCAAAGGTCAAGGTAAAATGGTCAAAATTAAAGGTATACAATGACAGGCCTAGTCACAAGAAAATTACCTATGTAATAT